TAGAGGCGAGGGAGGTAGAAGCATCGCTGAAACAGCTGGACTAGAACAAGGCCGCGAGTCCAGATGGGCTGTACCCAGCAATCCTGTGGCCTATTGATGACACAATTGCCGGTTCACCGGCTCAGCTTTTTAACCGCTCGCTTGCCTCAGCTACGCTGCCAGCCGACTGGACCACGGTAGAAGTGGTGTCAATCCACAAGGAAGAGTCAAGGGCGGCTGCATCGAACTACCATCCAGTAAGCCTGCTTTTGGTAGTCCTCAAAACCTTCGAGCGTCTTCTCAGGGGGAGGCTGGTGGGACATTTGGATTACCAGCACCTCATAGCTGACCAACAGCAGGGCTTTATCAGCAGAAATTCGTGCCTTACTAACCTACTATCTTTTCTGGACGAGGCAACAGAAAGATTGGATGCAGGCGACCTAATCGAAGTTTGTTACTTTGATTTCAGGAAAGCCTTTGACTCGGTCAACCACAGGTTCCTCCTGCTTAAGCTGAAGCCCTACGAGTAGACCAACAATTGGTGATGTGGACATAAGCGTACCTACACGAGAGGATGTTCCATGTAAAGGTGAAACAGGAAACGTCGGAGACGGCAGCAGTCAATAGTGGGGTACCCCAGGGCTCGGCCCTTGGGCCCATACTATTTGTGTTGTATGTCAATGACGTCACCGAGGTATCCCGGTGTCCCGGGTTCCTATTCGCGGACGACCTCAAATTTGTGGGTAACCCGGCATTGGGGGACTTACAGGATGCCCTAAATGAAATTCATGGCTGGGCGGACACCTGGGAGCTACCACTCAATGCCAGCAATTTCAGGCACCTGCTGATGAACAGAGGAGATCGGAGGTACTTCACCTAGGCGCTGGGTCGGTGGAGGCCCTAGAACCCATCGATGCGATCAGGGACCTAGGCGTGCAGATTTACTCGTTCTTTAAATCCTCATCGCAATGCGCGGCAGCTGCGGCGAGGGCCAATAGAGCCTTATTCCAAATCTGCCGCACAGTAATATCCAGAGAGGCTAAGGTACTTTGGCCAACATACAAGGCTTTTGTGCGACCACACCTAGAGTACTGTGTCCAGGCGTGGGTCCCTCCCTTAGGAAAGGATAAACAACTACTTGAGGCAGTTCAAAGAAGGTTCACTCGGATGATCAGTGAACTGTGCGGCAAGTCTTACAAAGAAAGGCTGGTGGCCCTTGATTTATTCTCTCTGCACCGCCGACGCCTGAGAGGGGACTTGATTGAGTCGTTTAAACTTCTCAAAGGACTGTCAATAGCAGACAGATCCTTCTTTACCCTGAATGTCAATTCAACCAGCAGAGGGCATGCGCTGAAGCTGATGAAACCACGGGCCAAAGGAAGTGCCAGAGCACAATTTCTTTCTCACCGCGTGGTAAACGCATGAAACAAGCTTCCATTGACAGCAGTAGCAGCATCTAGTGTTCTGCAGTTCAAACGGAGACTAGACAACTGCTGGGACGGTGTTCCCAGAGTATGACTAGCACAACTCCCAGGCACTTCCTGCATCAGTCAGTCAGTCAGTCAGTTTGCACAGGACAGGAGATGGCTACGGCCAATCGAGCGTCCAGGTTTCCTCCGGTAGTAAGCCATGTTCCGGCTCCTACCACTACGAGTGTTCTATATTGCAGTTCTACGCGTTTTCTTCACGTCTCAGTTGTCTCCGTCTCTGCAAAGAAAAGAGAAGGTAAAAAATATCTTCCCTTGTTCAGGCGAGAGACCTCACGTTTGGAAGCGTTCCCCGGATGGGGTGGGTGGTTAGTCAACGAAAAACCCACCCCTGTTTCCAGGCCTTAACCTATGCGTCAATTTCAGGAAATAAAGTCAACCAGCGCATATCGAGCTCCTTCTTGAAAGCATATACGCCCCCTAGCTCCACCAGCTACTGTGGCAACTTATTCTACGCGTTGACTACCCTGTTGCTGAAAAAGTTCGAACGCACCGCCAGTCTCGTGCGCAATTTCTTCAGCTTGTACACATGCCCCTTAGTATTGCTTTCCCTCTTCTCGAAGAACACTGCTTGATCCGTCCCTGATAGTCCATTCGTAATTTTGAATGTCTCTATCAAGTCAC